TAATCAAATCGGGAATTCCTGATTTAGTTTCATTTCGACTAAAGCGGAATTACCGATTTGGTTAACTAATAATCTTTTTAAATCGGTAATTTTGATTTGGAATGTACAAATTAATCCAAATCGGTAAAATTTTCAATTTGGAAATCGCATTGATTTGGAATACTTTTTGCAAAAGTTCGAATATCTTTTGCAGGAATTCGAATACTTTGGTTTCTGGCCAATCATCGTCATTGATTTGGAATACTTTTTGCAAAAGTTCGAATATCTTTTGCAGGAATTCGAATACTTAATTTGAAAATTAATATAAAATCAATTTAACCAAATTAGAATTCCTGATTTGGTTTTATTAATTTGATAAAGTATTCTTAATTCCTTTGACATTCTCTAATAAAAAAACTATTTAAATAAATGATAGTTTTATTAAAAATGAATTTCTCAACATTATAAAAATGAATTTCTCCAATGAAATAATTTTGATAATTATAAAATACTTGTGTGATGATATTATCAATATTATCACCAAATCAAATTACTATTATTTTAAAATCACATCACATCAACATCCTAAAAAAAATTGTGATAAACTTCGTGGAATAAACAAATGGTTCAGTAATCTTTTTGAAACAGAATTCTTGGAAAAATTAGATTACAAAATTGGTAATATTCATTCGGATGATTATAAAATTCTTTTGAATTTACAAAAAATATCCTGTAATAGTTATTCTCGACAATTACAATATGTAAATTATTGTGATTTTTTTTAAAAACATTGTTAAAGATAGATATTTGAATTTCTGGGAAAAAATCATCTTGAATTTTTGTTCGATCACTAATAATGAAATTATAAGTGAACGTATGATAAACTTTGCCTGTTTTAAATATTTTAATTTATATTATACTAGTCGCGTCAAATATTTTGAAAAATGTAATTGCATAAATCAAAACCATTCGGCACTAATGTTTAAAAAATCGAAAGATAAATTACATTGGTTTTATTCCTGTCACAAATGTAAATTCTTTAAACATATCGCTAAGTATTAAGATTTAAAATAATTAAAATAAATTTTCATATTTATAAATATCAAAAGGATTTAAGTTTCAAAACTAAATAAATCCCATAATTTTTAAAATATAAAAAAGATATAAAAAGAAATAACGTGATAAATTTGAACAATTATAAAAAAAATATGCAAGAAAAACACGAAACGACTTGTTTGCAAAAAAACATTAACGTTACAAATTCCCGAAAAGTTTTTTGACAAATACTACAAAGGAAAACATGAATTTTTCATCGATGAACGAGAAATTGTTTACGTGGTTGAAAAAAATGACGATAAAGTTTTAGATATTTTTTTGAAATGTGTGATAAAAAAATATTTGAAAGAAAAAAAAAAAAGTCACAGATTCAACACATGTCCCCGATGCAGAAAACTCGAATTCTGTTATGTCGAAGGAAGATATTGTTTTGGACAGCCTTTGGGACAAGAAAATGAATATTACGATCTGACCAAATATCCGTATCAAGAAACTATCAATCCTTGTGATAGTTTTAATTCACCTTTCACTAATCGTGTAAACAATAAAAAATTCAAGATGAAGTTTCCTGATCATGAACATATGTTAAAATTCTTTAACCTTTACAAAATCAGTCGGAAATTTG